GATGCAGAAGGGGGGATGGATGCAGAAGGGGGGGGACACACAGTGTCACGCAGGGTCCCCCAGCAAGGAGGGCATGGAGAAGGGCAGCAGATGGAGGAGAGGGGGGGACGGATGGAGAAGTGAGGGAAGGATGGGAATGGGGGGATCCAGTGTCACTCAGGGTCCCCCAGGAACAGGGAGATGAAGAGGGAGGTGATGGAAAAGAAGGGGGATGGAGAAGGTGGGATTCTCTCAGGATACCCCAGCAAGGGAGGGTGGATGGAAGAGGGAAGACAGGAATGAAGAAGGGGGGTGGAGAAAGGGGGGACATGGAGAAGGGAGTCACCACCACCCCCAAAACTGCAAGATTCCAAAGCCCTGAGCGTTCTCAAAATTCCAAGAGGCTCCAGTTGGGATATGCAGGACGAACCCTCCTTTCTGCCCGAGGATAGGGATCCCCTTCCCAAAATTCCCAGCTCCAGAGGGTTGACAGTACCTACTGCAGGATGGGGGGGCAGCTCAGACGAAGCCATGGCGAGGGGGGGCCGGATGCTCCGCCTGGGCCGTTCCCGAGTTTTTCCTGGTGGAAGAGAAGGAAAAAGGGGGTCAAAAAGGAAGCTCAGCCCCCCAAATCCATCCCTGGGAGACTCCAGGTGGGAGGGATCCGTCTCCAGCCACTGCAAAACCTGGGAAGGAAGCAGGAGACTGTTGGGGTGGGAGATTTATCCCCTGGATGGCAAATCCCGCAGGTTTGAAGGTCTGGGGGGTGGGAAGCGCCAAAGAGCCTCCTTGGGATCGATGGCTCATCCGCTCCCGTAACCAGAGACACCCTGCAAGGTCACCAGGAGGAAGGGGAAGGTCAGAGCAGGGACCCCCCAATTCCCAAGGGACGATGGAGAGGAGGAAAATGTCACCTGAGAGGTTGGAAAGGGGAAAATGGGGCCAAGTGAGGGGAATTTGGTCCTGCTGGAAGCAGGATGTCCAAGGGATGCCACTTCCCTGCTCCCAAGAGTTGTGATCCCCCCCAAGAGATGGTTCCTCCCTCATTTTCCCTGGGAAATGCTGGATAAGGGGACGCCCAAAGCCAGGGTGATCCCAAAATACAGGAGCTGTGGATTTGGGATTTGTTTATTTGGGATTTGTTTATTCCCCCCGGACCAAAATCCTCGTGGAGCTGCAGCACAGGGTGGGTAGAACTGCCCCAGGTGGGACAAACAGCTCCAGGGCCACAGAGAGCCACAAAAACCTATCAAATCATCCTAAAATTGAATGACAATGATGATAATAACGATAACAGTGATAGTAACGGTAACAGTGATAATAATGATAATAGTGATGATAATAGAAATGCAGAGCTGGAATTGCTCCAGGTTTGGCTTTTCACGGAGCTCCAGGGCCACAGAGAGATGTAAAAATATATGATATAATACCAAACTGTCTTTATAATAATGGTAATTATAGTAATGATAATAATAATTATAGTAATGATAATAACTATAAATGCACTTGCTCCAGGTTTGGGTATTCATGGAGCTCTGGGGCCACGGAGAGATATAAAAATATATCAATAATGATAATTATTGGAAGAATAAGAATAGAAATCCCTATCTGTGGGCCTGGAGCTGACCAGGAAGGTGCTGAGGGCTGGGATCACCTCCCAGATTCCCATTTCCCCCTGGAAAATGGGTTATAAACCCCCAGGTGCCCAAGCTGATGGTGTAACCCCCCAGATTCCAAGTGCTCAGCAATGCCAACCCCATCCCCATCCAAACCCCACCAAAATACGGAGCCAAATCCCAACTGACCCTTTTCCAGCCGTAAAAAAAATAGGAATAAATCCCTTTTCCCCTCCCTTTTCCAGCCACTCTTCCAACGAGCCCCTTGTCTCTGACAAACACATTAACTGGGATTTATTTGGGAGAGGGATGGTCAGTTTTCCTCCTGGAATTCTTTTCCAGGTGCTCAGAACACCTCCCATGTCACCCAGCTGCTTCCCACCGGCCTGGGAGCAGGAGATTCCCAGCTCTGCCCCTTTGCCAAGGTTTTATCCCTAGGGACGTGGTGCCCCCTCCGAGCCATAAATCCAGAGGAAAGCAGGAGATGAGGGAAAAAAAACCATTCCCTATTCCTGCAGGAAAAACAAGCAAAGCAAGTCTGGAATCCTTAATCCTTGGGAAAAACCGCCCCAGGAAAGAGGTGCTGCCGGGTTTATCCCGATCCTGGTCTCCTTACAGGTTTGATCCATCCCTCCAGCAATCCAGAGGCTTCCCCATGGGATGAGGGGAGTGGGAAGTGCTGCAGCTCCATCCCAAATTTACCCAGCTGGGCGGGAAAAGGTCACTTCCCATTTTGCCAGTTGACATAAGCTCCTATCCCACATCCTGATTTATCCCAAGGCTGGTTCTTTTTCTGGCTGCCAGGACTCCAAAACAAGCCTTGGATTGGGTTTTAAAGGTCACTTTGCATCGTTTTCCATGGAAAAGGAATATCCTGGGAGCAAAAGCCACCCTCCCAGGGAGATCCCTTGGAATAAACCAGGAAGCAGGACAATCCAAGGAGGACCTGGGGATGGGAGAGGATCCAAGGAGGATCCTGGGATGTGACTCCATCCTCGGCAAACTGGATTCCCAGGAGCTGCTGGGGCCTCTCCATGGGAAGGAGCATCCTGGGGGCGGCAGCTCCATCTCCTTCCCGAGCAGAGTGGGGAGGGAAAACAAACAGAGGAAGGCAGAGCAGCAGGATCGTGTGCCGGGCCCAGAGGAAGGCAGAGCAGCAGGATCATGTGCCGGGCCTTTCCCCAGCCCGGGATTCGGGGGGATATTTTTAGCCAGGCCATGGAGCGACAGGTCCCAGCTGGTGGGAACAGAGCCCAGCTCGGGAACGATCCCACATCCAGGACCCGCTTCCCAGGGCTCTCCCATCCCCCAGGGATATCTCCCAGCAGGATTTGCCCCCTGGGAATCTGCTCCTCTCCCCATCCCAGCCCGTCCATCCCAGGGATGAACAACCTGGAGTTATTTATACGGGATAGGAATCCAAATTCCCTTTTCTCTCCCAAGTTCTCCCCTTTTCCACAGTAATTCCTGCAGGTGGCATCCCACATTAATTCCCACATCCCATCCAAGGGGGATTTTCCACCATCGCCTTGACAAAAATCGATATAAAAACTGACTAAAATTTGATAAAAATTGAATTAATTCAGGTTTTTTTCCAGTCTCTGGGATGGGAGGAGTCCATGGAGGAGGAAAACAGGGATGTTTTCACCCCTGAATCCCAATCTTTTAAAACAATAAGTAAAATATTATTAAAAAAATAAAAAGTTAAAAATGAAATTTATAAAAGGAAATTAAATTTAGGAAGTTAAAAAGATTAAAAAAATGAAACGAGAAAAATTAAACAGAGAAAAAATGGGAAAGAAAAAATTAAACTGGAAAATAAAAATTAAACTGGAAAACAAAGTTTAAACTGGAAAACAAAGTTTAAACTGGAAAACAAAGTTTAAACTGGAAAACAAAGTTTAAATGGGAATCAAAATCTAAATTGAAAACAGAATTTACATTTAAAAACAAAATACAGGCAGGGAAAAAATTTACATGGAAAACTAAAATTTGCATTGAAAACTAATTTTAAAATCGAAATTACTCAAACATTAAAATAACCTCAAGTGATTGAAAGGATTAAAAAAAAATAATCATTTAAGACTGGAAATAAAAGAATTCCAAAATGAAAAATCCTTTTCACGTGAAACACCAGTTAAAAATGAACCAAAGGAACTTTCCCAGTTTTCCAGGGAATAAATTGGGCAGGTCTGAGGCTCTCAATGAGGGCTCCAGTGGGGAAAAACCATCCAGGGTGCCCAAAAATTCCCTAAATCGGGAGCTGGGATGTGGTTGGGACTGGTGGGGGTGGGAACAAAGGGCAGCCCCAGGAGCAGTGGGAAGGAAATGATGGCAAAAACGTGGGGAAGGTCCCTAAAAAAACAGGCAAAATACGGAATTTTCCCCCTCAAAATCCAAAAATAAAATAGAAAATATGGGTTTTCTCAGAAAAAAAACTGCCAAAGGAAGAGTTTGCCCCTGAAAAAATTCCACGAGAAGTCAAAATTCAGGGTAGCTTTGGAGGTAGATTTTCAATGAACTCAACTTATAGAAAATGCTTTTTTTTCCCCCCTGTTTTCCCTTGAAGTGGCTTTTCCAGGCAAATATCCCACAAATATCCCAGCTCACAATCCCATGACTTGGAAAACTGCCACTGTTTTCCTTTTCTTTTCATTTCCAAAGCCGCTGATGAGCCAGAAAAAATCCACCCCTGGTCCAGCTCATGCCACGAGAAACGGGAATTAAAGGAAAACCAGGGAAAAGTCAGGAAAAATCAGATTTATGGCCCTTAAATAAGAAAAATTACAGTCCTTTCTGCAAAGATTTCTTGCAGAGAGATCCCAAAAATCCGGGGGAAAAGACATTTATTGCCAAAAAACTCCCTAATTCCACCTTTATCCCAATCCCCGCTTTACAGAGTTCATCCACTGCAAAATTATCCCAGGGGGAATTCGAAAGGAGAAGAGTTTGATTCAGAAATACCAAGAAAAAAAGCAAAAAAAAAAAAATTAAATAATGGGTGGTTTTGTTCCCTTATTATTGTTTCCAGCTCAAAATTCCCAATAATTTGGGGTCTGCTTTATTGGAAAGCTCCGAAGTAAAACCTCTCCCACCCTTTGGAAGGGATTTTTCCTCCCTGCCAGCGCTCTGGGGTCACTTTATTTCACCCCAAATCACCTTATATTGCCCAAAACCCAGTTTATTTTGCCCCCAAATCACCTTATTTTGCATAAAATCACTTTATATTCCACAAAATCACCTTATTTTGGCCCCAAACCCACCTTATTTTGCATAAAATTGCCTTATTTTACAAAAAAAAAATCACCTTATTTTGCCCAAATCCCACCTTATTTTGCCCCCAAATCACCTTATTCTGCTGAAACCCCACCTTACTTTACCCAAAAATCAGCATCAGGTGATGCCACCAATGGATTTGAGCTCCTCCTTCCCCAATATCCTTAATTTTTCTCCTTGTTTTCCAAACACCCACTCAAGCACCCCCTCAAATATTGGGATTTTTACCCTAAAAGGGCATTTCCCGTATACTTTTCCTGGTATTTTGGGGAAAAAAACCTGCTCTTTGCAACTTGTTCCCCCCCCCCCAAGGCACAATTAATTA